CTCGTGACATTGCATACAATACAAAAGTTGTATACCTTTATTACAAGTAGCAAGGAAGATGAACGTGTCAGGAAAAAAGTACAAAAAAAAAAACAACTTCTATGTTCAACTAAGACTGCTTTACATTTTGATGATGATATGCGATTGATTGGTGATAAAATCTCAATCAATCAATAAATCGGCTCCTCTTCGAAGTACGTAACACTCATTGGGCACATGCGTGCAAAGTGATCATCACCCTAAAACCCTTGAAAAATCCATAGGAGAATAATTGCTAGATAAATCCACTTTTAAAAAAAGAATTTTGAAGGTAAAAAGGACAAACTTGCCTTCGCTATCAGCATTCTAACCAAAAATATCAGATCATAAGGATGAAAACATAGTGAAGTGATGATGCTCACAGCACTGAACCAAGGCGGTAAAAGAATGACGTCACTACCAACTTAACCATACCAAAAATGATCATAAAATCAATAGGCTGTTATGAAAAAATTCAAAAAATTAATCAATCAATAACTCGTTCGGTTAATGCACAGTTGAAAAAGAGAACAAACGGATTAAACAACACAAATAAGAAACTCGAAATAATCGATAAACAAAAATTCTACAGCTGCTCACATCATGTCATTTCCCTTTATGGAGAAGATAAAGGAGGGATATGAGCCTTAAACCCACTGCATGAAGATCAACTTCCGCGCAATAGGAAATTTTGCGAGTAAGGCGATATGAGGAAATTAACTAATGCAGGAAGCACTCATAGATTATCAATAACAAACGTTGATTTTGTGTCCAGCCAGGAAGCACAAAGAAGCCAAACCAGATTGTGTAGAGATAAGAACTTGTCCCCAAAGCTCATCTGAGACAAAGCTTAGTTTTATCTCTCTCTAAAGATTGATATTGCGCGGGAAGAATGTCTCATAATATACCGATGACACATGGAGACCAGTTCTCGTTCGATAGCACGAGATAAGCGGTTTAGGCGAAAGCATAATAAGAAGACATGTGAAACTAACGGCAGCTGGATTAAGCAATCCTACATATCGTCCCGCAGCATGCGCAAGCTTTCAGACAACATCTAAAGCCTATGCTCTAAAAGAATTTATTCTAACTGCCGTATTCACATAGTCACAAAGGTTGTTTGGAAATGCGCAAGGCTAAAGGCATAGGTCACAAAAGCGAACATGTTACGAAGCGCAGCCTACTGCGTTGCATCCATAGCGCTTACGATAGACACCCTCACACAACATCGTTTGCTTCTTTGTGTCCCTATGTTCATGAATTCCTTAATTTCTAAGCGAACAAACGATTAATAAAACTGAAAACATCTTGATGGTGTGACGTCATCACTGCCTTGAGCATAAAACATCTATTGAGATAAGTTATGTCAAAGCATAAGTATTATCATAGCATTTATGACAGAAAGGACGTCGATCCACTTCCTTGAATGTGCCTTTTGTGAGTTGTCTGTTACAGTATGAGCATCGAAAATGTTCTGGATGAAATTTGCGTCCGATTGCCGTCACACATCGACCCGATATCGGTTGACGACATTCGTGACACAATGAGCCGCGACGTTCATGGTAGTGGGTCTCACATAACGGCTGACCACCGTCATCGAAGAACGTGCCACCGGCAAATGATGCGCCACACATCTGTAGAGAAATGAGACACTCCACTCCACTCACACAACAATCACAGTAACAGGAACAACACTGACGTAAACATAAACATAGTTTATAATGGTAAAACCTATAGTAAGAATTACACTGACTTACTGGTGTTTCAAAAGAAACCGCATCATAATATAATAATAATTTTCAGCGCCTCCAATGTACTACTATCAAATATCACAATTACCTCAGCAGTTTTGAAAATATAATATACAACTTAATAAAAATTTTTCGTTCGTCTTTCAAATCTCAACTAACATAGCATTAATCACTTCTTAAAAATTTTTGTGCTTATGTACTAGGAAAAAGCTCTTGGTTTTCTTGCTCATGTGAAAACATACAACAAATTTCTAGAAAATAAGACCAAAGCGTAATAAACAGATCAGCCTTAAGCTTCAAAAAGAAATAATGAACACTCATTTAACCTATAACTAGAAGGCATAAGGTTAATAGCGCAAACATCACCAAATTTTAGTAAAAATAAAAAATTAGAAGAGTTGATGTAGTCACATTGATATACATTCCCACACTAGTTAGCTATACCCACATTAAAGAAAAATTCA